TCACTGTTGTCTAATCTCCGTTTTGGGGTAACGCTGGTGTCTCTCTGGGGGCATGTGGGTGGGTTGGGGATGGGAGGGTGTGGGGCACGGAGGTCTGGTGACGAGGATGGGTGTGAGGGTATGGACGGGTCTGGTGGTGTGGGTGGGGTACAATGGAGGGATTTGGAGTGGGTGGGATGCAGAGCACGGTAGGAGTCTGGATGAGGATGGTGTGCGGAGGGGTGGATGGGAAGGTGTAGAGCAAGGCGTGGTGTGGGTTGTGATGGGAGGGTGTAGAGGCACAAGGAGGGGTCTGGTGATGAGGATGGGTGTGGGAGGGTATGGACGGAGGGTGTAGAGGGCAATGGAGGGGTTTGGTGTGTGGGTTGGGGATGGGAGGGTGTAGAGGGCACGGGAGGGTCTGGTGATGAGGATGGAGGGGTATGGGACGGGTTGGTGTGTGGGAAGGGCAAGGAGTCGGGGGATGGGAGGGCAAGGGTCTGGTGGATGGGGGGGTGTGGAGGGTTTGACGTCTGGTGGTGGATGGGTGAAGGGTGTAGAGGGATGGAGGGGTGGTGTGGGTTTGGGATGGAGGGTTGTAGAGGGACAAGGAGGGTCTGTGATGAGGATGTGTGGTGAGGTATGGGACGGGTGTGGTGTTGGTGAGTGTGAAGGTGTAGAGAGCAAGGGAGGGGTTGTTGTGTGGGTTGTGATGGAGGGGTGAGAGGGCACGGGAGGGTCTGGTGATGAGGATGGGTGTGGGAGGGGTATGGGACGGGTCTGGTGGTGTGTTGGGGGAGAGGAGATATGATGGTGGGGGAACGGTGATGGTTGGGGTATGGGAAGGGGTAGAAGGTAGGTATGGGGAATGGTAGGGTGGGGAGAGTTGTAGGGAAAACGGGCAGTGTAGGAAGTTAGAAAGAGGGAAGTGGAGAGATTTGGGGGGAAAATGTGTCTTTCTTTCCTTTATTTTTCTTTTTTCTTTTTTTTTTAGGACTATTTCCCTCTTTTTTACCCATATATTCTTCACTTCTCTATTCTCTTTCTCTCTCTCCAACTCTTTTCTTTTCTTCTCTCTCCTACCTACTCCTTCATCTTACCCACTTTCTCTGTTTATTTTTTATTCCTCTCCATTATCAATTCCCTTTATCCATTCTTCTCTTATTCCCTTCCATTTCTCCCTCTGTCCTCCTTCCTCCCCATATCTTCCTACCCCCCCCCTCCCCTTTCCCTTTAACGACACACCCATATATAACGACCACCATTGGATCAAAGGACCCTATGCAAAGTTAGTCCTCAGTCTATTTCCATATGTAGTGTATGTGAGGGTCTGGCTACTGGCTGGCATAATGAACCGTTGAGATGAGGAAAGATAAGTAAATATGTGATATATAAGGTGCATGTGTATAGGACGTAAATAGACAAGTAGGTAGGTCGATAGATAGGTAGGCAGGTAGTTAAATGAATGGATGGGTAAGTAGGTAGGTTAGGTAGAAAGATAGGTAGATAGAGGGAAAGAAGTATAGATACAGAGAGATACATAGACATACTGATAAACAGAACACTCTGATAAATAACATAGATACATAGACATACTGATAAACAGATAGAACACCCTAATAAATAAATAGACGGACAGATAGGTACAAAGAGTTTTCATACCCTCGGCCGCCACCTGTCCCTCGGTGAACAAAGACCTCCCACGGCCTCTTCCATGATTCCCAGAACCGCGCTAATCTCCGGCATGTGTTGTTTTCCTCCGTCTTCTGAGTCCGATTCCCCGCCACGTTTTATCGGGTCTTCTGGCGCGGTTGTTATTTCTTGGGGGTCGAGTCAGTCGCTCTCCGCCCTCTGTTGACGCTTCGGATAGCTCTATAATAGGTTTTTACTTATTTCTGTGGAGATATAGCAGGTTAGGGTCGATCTGTTGACGCGTGGGATAGCTCTATCTATATAAGGTTTCTATTTATTTCTTGGAGGTCTAGCCAGTAGGTCACCATCCTCTGTCGACGCTTCAAATAGCTCTATAACAGTATATTTCTTGGAGATCTAACTAGTTAGTGTCGATCTGTTGACGCATTGGATAGCTCTATAATAGGTTTTTACTCATTTCTTGGAGATCTAGCCAGTAGGTCTCCGTCCTCTGATGACGCATCGGTTAGCTCTATATAAGGTTTCTGCTTATTTCTTGGAGGTCTAGCTAGTTAGTGTCCATCGGTTGACGCATCGGCTAGCTCTATGATCGGATTCTACTTTAATCTGTGTTTCGCTTTTATTTTTTTGTGGCTCTATGTCCAGTTTTCTTGTGGTTTGCAGGTTTCTTCATATAGCTCTATACCCAACTTTCTTTCTAGCTTTATGTTCGGCTCTATGTCACTGGGTCTCTGTTCAGTAAATTTTCTAGCTTTATAACTTGTTCTTTGTCCACTCCATCATCTAGCTCTGTGTTCAATTCATCTGTAAGTTCTATGCAAAGCCTATCCTCTAGCTCTATGGTCTTTTTTTATCTTACTGATCTATGCCCAATCTTCTATCTCTATTTTTAACTCACTTCCTGGTTCTAGCTCTTTAACCTACCAAATATCTGACTCTATACCCAGCTCACTTTTTCACTATGAGCATCCCAGCTCCTGGTTCTATGCTCTTCTTACCTCACTTTTCGCTCTTCAATCGCTCCTATATTACCTATTACTTTAAACTGTTCTTATTTATGCCTATCTCTCTATTGCCAAATATGCCCATCTGTTTAATGATGAGTTGTCCCCGTGTGCGTGTGTGTGTGTGTATGTAATTATGTTTATTGTTCTGTGTGTGCGTGTGCGTGCGTGTGTGTGTGTGTGTGTGTGTGTCTGTGGATGGGTATCTGTGTGTATCTGAGTGTGTATGTGTGTGTTTATACGTGTGTGTGTGTGTGTGTATGTTGTCTTAACATTGCAATGAAAAAAGGCAAGAAAGATCTAATCTAATTAACTCCATTCTAATTATCTCATTTTAATTGGTTTACTTGTCTTTCCAAGAAGGTTTTGTTGCTTCAAAAATACGATTCACTAGAACAAAAGAAGGGTACAGTGAGAACAGTATGAACAATGATGACAACGGTGATGAAAATACTGATGATACTGATGATAAGGATGAAGAAAGTAATGATAATAATGACAATGATGAGAGTAATGATGATAGGAAGGATAATAATAATAGCAATAATAATAATAATAATATTGATAATGATAATAGTACAATGACAATTGTGATAATGATATTAATGATGGTAATAGTGGAATAATGATGATGATGATCATGATAATGATATCATCATGATATATTCAATAATGTCAATGATAATAATAATGATCATGATAATGGCAATGGTGATGATAAGAATAATAATGATAATAATATTATGATAATAATGATAATGATGATAATAGTAGAATGATGAAAATAATAACAATAATAACTGTAATAATGATAGTAATGATGGTGAAAATAATAATATTGCTAATGAAAATAATAACGCTAATGGCAATGATGATAATGATAATAATGTTAATAGTGATAGTATTAATAATCATACTGATACGGATAATGGGAATGTTGATGATAAAACAATATTACTACAGCTTGATAATGATAATAATAATTACTATAATAGTAATAATGATAATACTGATACTAATATCATATATAATAATGATAATAATAATGTTGATAACAGTACAGTAATGAAAATGATAATAACGATAGCAATGGTGATCAAATTGATAATAAGGATGATAACTGCAACAACGATAATGAAAACAAAAATAAAGATCATGCTAATAGCAATAACAATAATAATGAAATATAAACAAATGAAAGTAACAGCAATAACAATGATGAAAATGATAATGATGATAATAGTAATAATAATAATGGTACCAATACTAACAATGATAATTATGTTATTATAAAAAACAACAACAATATGATGGTAATATGATAATGATAATAGCAACAGTAATAGTAGTAGTAGTAGTAATGATAATAATAATGATGATAATGACCTTCATTGTCTCCTGCTCTTTACTATTCTCCCTTCATCTCTCTGTTCTTCTTTTCTCCTCTCTCCGCTCCTGTTTGTTATCCTCTTCCATCCTCCTCCCTCTCTTTATCTACTCCCTCTTCCTCTTCCCTCTTTACCCCTGCTTCTCTTCTCTCATCCTCCTCCTTCTCTCTATTTACCACTTCTTCCCTCACCGTCCTCCCTCTTTCCCTTGTTTCACTTCCTCCTCCATCCTCCTTCCTCTCTGCCCCTTCTCCTCCTTCTCTTTATCTTCCCTCTTTACCCCTGCTCCCCTTCTTTCATCCTCTTTCTATCTCTATCTACCACTTCTCCCTCGCCCCCTTGCTTCCGTGGCCCCATAATCATCTTTCACATGAAAATTCGTGATCTAAGTTGTTGAAAAAATCATAAACAAATGACAGGCCACCGCACGTCATCCTTAATTCTACGTGGTAATTTTAGTCAATTATGGAAATGGGAAGCGAAGGAGGGGAAGGGTAGATTGACAAAAATAGGAAGAATGAGAGGGAGAAAGGAAAGGGAGAGAGGGAATAGAGAAATAGTTTTAGAAAAAGAGACAATTAGAGAGCTAGAAATACAAATATTTTCCTTCCGTGTTAGAACTCGAGCTGAGGGTTCGTGACGGACGTGTTTACAAATCCGGATGAAACGCATGACTTACAAGAACGGAAAATAAGCGATCCGCGTGAATCCAGCTTAGATTTCTTTCTTCTTTTCTTCCGTCGCTTCCTTTTTCTTCTTCTAATTATTTTTTAATCTTCTTGTGTGTGCACGTTTCTCTAATGATCTGTTCACTTGCTTACAAAAAAATGAATTATCAGTTGCAAGATAATATTTTAGTGTGCGTAATAATTTGCGTTATCCTTATTGTTTACATTCATTTGTTGATTTCCGTTCTCACCCCCCCCCCTCCACGCTCCATCTCTCTCTCTCTCTCTCTCTTTGTATCTTCCTCTCTGCGATCCTCAACTCTTTCTCAAAAACATTCTACGGTTCACAACTCTGTCCCCATCTCTGCCCTGCAACGAACTCTAATCTTGCCATCTTGTTTCTGGCCTTTTCCTACTACATTTACTACGTCATGGGGTCCGGTCATTCAGACTCTTACCCCATCTGTTATCTTCTTTTCATAGTGTGTGCCTCGTCTATCTTCACTTCCTCGTAAGTCACTTCTGAATCTTTGAATTCTTTTTGAAATTTGATCTACAGAGCTTTTAATATGATTTTAAAATCGAGTTATCTATTAAACTGTGTTCTTTTTAACATGTCCTTTACAGATATAGATTTCAACATTCGTATCCAATCATCACATACTGAGCTTTGATGATGAATGTTGCATTCGTTGCAGACTTACAAAAAACACTCCATTATTATACCCGTTTTCCAAATGTTATGTAGTAAAAATAGATGACCTAATATTTCGTAGACCTTTGACCTTGTCCTTCCCCTAATGGCCTACTGATATGCCGTCTTCCAAAGCTTTCCTTTTCTTTGTACCTTTAAGAGGAGAGAACGCTTCCTGTGGGGTCAGTTTGGGGTCTTTACTTGTGTCCATGAAGGTTTTCGTGTATAATTTTCTGGTCTTTGGTCTGCGTGATATTATTCAACATTCTTCAACTCTGTGTGCCACATTTTTCTTTCCCGATGACATCTCCAGTAATCTCTTTTATAAATGAATATTTTTACTTTTTTGTCTTTTTTTATTACATCTTTGATTCCATTTACATATTTTCTTAAAAGCCATTTTTTATTGTCGTCGCCAAACAAACACACACAAGCTAATATATACTCTAAGAATTTAAGGGAGGATCAACGGCGGGCAAGATAATGCTCTGCTCCATGAGAAAAAAAGAGGGAAAATAGGCCTCTCTTTGTCTTCCTCTTCCCTCTCCTCCCGAACCTTTAAAAAGACATAGGTCTACTAACTCATTTTCTCTTTTCTTTTCTTTTTTTGTTTTGTGAGGGTAGGCCTACAAGTCTTCGTATGGGAAATATTGATTTGTTTAGCGCAGACGGACAAAGACGGGGACAAAAACAACAACAAATAAAGTAGCAGAGGAAAGAAACAAAGAGAAGAGGCCTAGGGGCGGTAGAATCTTGGCTGCAACTTTGGTAGGCAAGCGGGTAGGCCTAAAGCTCTCCTGTCTAAGTTATCGTCATTATATATAAACCGGCGACTGTCTGGCCGATAACTTGGTGATTTGTAGGCCTTGGTGGTGGCCGCATCTAAATTCTGCTGCCACCCCCACCCCCCCACCCACTCTCAATCCCCATACCCCCACTCCACCCCCCCCTCTTCCCTCCTCCGCCCCTCCCACTTCTCCCTCTTCTCCCTCTCCATCTTTCGTACTCTTTCTCCCTTTCGTTCCCTTCCCCTTCCTGCTCTCTCATCCCCTATCGTCCATTTCCTCCCTCTTCTGCACTTCCCTCTTTCGCATCTTTCTCTTTCTTCTTTTCCTCTGTTATCCATCACTTCCTTTTTCCTTTCCCTGTCTTTCTAAGACTCTCGCCTCTCTGCCTTCCCCCTCCCTTTTTTTTTTTCTTTTTTGTTATTTTTTCAAGTATTTTTTATTTCTTGGTTTTTGCTATTTTCTTTCAATTACCTTCCCCATTTTTTTTATTTGCTTACTTAAAAGCCATCTGTATTCTGTCACATTTTTTTTTTTTTTTTTACCTGCTGTTGCCTTTCTCTTCCTCTTTTTCTTTCTCCTACACCTAATACACTAATAATTGTAATAGTCATAGTAGTAATATTAATAATACAAAGAGCGATAGTAGCAGAAGTAGTAGTAGTAATGACATTACAAGCAATAATAAAAATTATATAGCAACACAATACATTAACAAATAAGTTTATATGTCAACGCCCATTCTACTAAATAAAGTAACGACAACAAAAACATTTTCTCTTCCACAATTAAAACTTTCCTAAAGTAATATTACATCCACCAACAATACATTGTTTCAGGTTAAATGGACAAGAAAGAGAAGTCTTTGCTACACTAACAGGCTCAAAATAGTTTAGCTTACAATTACACTCAATAGAAAGGGAGGGAGGGAAGGGAAGGAGCGAGCGAAAGAGAACGAGGGAG